ATCTAGACAAGATCATCGGATCACGATTAAATTTGGCAATGTAGAACACAGTCTGGAAAAACAAATAGGCTGTTCGTTTTTGTTTTTTTTTAATACCGCGTAGTTAGAGCTCTGAATGACGGTTATATATTGTTAATGATATCCAATATCTTCAAGATTTTAGAAATACATTTTGGTATGTTCAAGAATTTCCACGAAATTAAAACATTTCTGATGAAAAGATGAAATAGTGTATTAATTGTGCATGGAGTTAGATGATTGTATGTTTAAAAAATTATGGAATCCGTTCAAACTTTATATGAATGAAATTTTAAAATATTTGTTTCAGGGTCCCAATGATCCGATGCAGAAGTTAAAGAAGCAGCTGGCGGAGAAGGAGAAGGCGTTGGCTGACGAACTGGAGGCCTCGCAAGCACTTCATGCCAAGCTTAAGGAATTGCGGTAACTGTCTTAATAAAATTTTGCAGTAAATGCCATAGCTATCAATATCTACAACTATGAAAACTTGCTACTTAGGTACAATTTGTAATTACCCACAGACTGAGTGACGGTTCTAATATAGCTATAGACCTTTGAACTCGTGTTCCTTGTTTAATACCTAGTTGAAAATAGTATAATTTAAAAAAAAAAACTAAATATGACAAGCTAACACTCGTTACAATACGGACCATTGACGGGTTCGAAACTAGTCGGTGGCGTTAATGGTAAGTGTTAAGCCGTTTTTAATTAGTTTTTTTTTAGTAATGATAATTTAAATTAAAATATGGGAGTGTTAGTTTACCAAAAGATACTTTGTAAGATTTTTTTTAAATAAATAAACCGGCGCTAACCCATAGTTCCACCTAAGCTATGTGGAGACGGTGAAGATGTTGTATATTAGTGTATATACTATACTAATATTAAAAATACAAAGGTTTAGATGGATGGATATTAGAGTTTGTAGCCTAAACGTCTGAATGGATATCGATAAAATTTAGCATAGATGTAGAGGAAAATCTCACGCTCACTAAGTCGCAGACGAAAGCTAGTGAATGAACGAATATGTATTTATTGCCACAAAATAGAAATTACATAAAACGACTTATTCTAAAGAAAACATCCGATCGTTGCAAAAGCTAGCTCAGCAAATGCAGGAGGGACTAAGCCGTCTTGCGCTGATTTTCACCTGGTTCTTCGCACTCATGTACCTTAATTATATGGGTAACCGGCCGTCCTAATACATATACAGAAAGCAAAACAGAAATATGATACAGTGTATGTGTTGGGCAGTGCGACGCTGAACGCAGAGCGCGGGCGCGCGGCGGCGGCGGGGCGCGCGGCGGAGCAGGCGGCGGGCGCGGCGCGCGCGGAGCTGCACACGCTGCAGGCGCGGCTGCAGCGCGTGCTCGACGACAACCACGCCCTCGGACAGGAGAAAATACATGTTAGTTGTCATCATCATCATCACCAGCTCACGATAAGTCCCTACCGAGGGGCTCGGAGCCTACCCTAAAGTTAGGGGGACTAGGCCATAGTCAACCACGCTGGCCAAGTGCGGGCTGGTTGACTTCACACATATCTTTGAATTTCTTCGCTGATATGTGCAGGTTGCATCACGATGTTTTCCTTCACCGTAAGAACGTCGGGTAAATGTTAGTGGTACTACTGTTATATTATATACTAGCTAAAATTATAACCTACGTTACTCACTGATAACGTAACTTTTTAATGGTGATTTTGTTTAATTGGTCCAGTAATTTTTGAATTATTTCAATGCTGTATGCATTACATAAAATACAAATCTTTATAATATTAGTACTAACTTAACTTTACTTTATCTTAACTTATAGTTTCTAATCATTGAAATTCTAATATTAGAAGGGAGAGGAACAATACTTATTCTAATTTCTATTTTTTTTAATTCCCGCGATCAGAGTCGCAGAGCCAACTAAATTTGCTGCAAAATTTTTAATAAGAAGAAAATTGCAATTAGATTAGTTTTTATTGAATTGTTTACCTGTAAGGTAATAGAAAAATTAAATTCATTGATAAACTTAATCAACTTGTCCCACAGCTACAATCTAAATTGGCCGCTGAAGGAGAAGCCCAAGCACAACGGGTTCAGATGGAATTGCATATCCAGAGATTGTCTGAAGTAAGTAATTATATTGCATCAGGGTTTTTTTTTGTGCTGGGTTCGAATCCCGCCATGTACCAATGTGATTTTCGATTTTTTGAATTTCATATGTACCCGACGTTTTTACAGTTAAGGGGAACGTCGTATTGATCAAACTGCACAT